CAATAATGAGAGAAACGCGCGATCAGTACGAGGCTTTGTGGCGGACTGCCGGCGCAGCAGCCCGGCGTCACCTGCGATAACGCGGCCGCGCGTTGGCTCCTGATTGGCGCGCGCACGCATCACGCAATCAGGAGCCAATCAGGCGCATAACGCATTTCGTGTGACATGCTAGTACGATTTTGGTCCCCATAATTTTCATACCCCGGGCCTATATATGTAAATCGATTCTAAAGGAGTAAACTCCAAAAATTATAATTTTTGTTGAACCCGGTTAACATAGGACATAAATACATTATGATTACGGTAAATAAACCTTCGGGTACAATTAACGAAGTTGTTACGCTGCGTACGTTCGATACTTCGGTCCGTGTTGGGTTTGTATTTGAATATCAAATGGGCTAGCTCGACAGAAATGTCGGTCGATGTTTTTTGTAATGACACTTGTACTACAAAGACTCGAATAGTAATTTTGTTTTATCAACTGTATTATTCAGTCGATATCAAAACGAACGACTTTGTTTTACACTAATAATCATTTCATAACGTGAATAAATATTCAAGTATTCACGGTGAATCTATTAAAGGGACAGATATCAAAAATAAATCGTGTCTTCGAGTATCTTTCGCAGACGTTTTTTTTGAAACGAAGTTCCTTATGGGACGACGCGGACGGGTACCCTGACCGGGAAAAAACGTCCGTAGCGTAAGATTTTTATTAGTAATGCACACAGTGTACGACTTAGCTTTATAATAACGTACAAAACATAACATATTTTTTTATCATTCATTGACCACGATCTCAGAGGGTTCGTTTGCGCCATACACTAATTCTTATGCAAACAACCGTGAATGAAGTATACCACAATAAGTTCTCACGTTACCGAATGACCGTGGGTTGTTGCGAAACCTCCTGTTTTATTTTCTTTATACCTCGAATAGAACTTAAAATTAACATTTTTATAATAAGGAACTTCGTTCCTATCCGGTGTCCCACGACACCACACATTTTTTTTTTATTGCTTAGATGGGTAGATGAGCTCACAGCCCACCTGATGTTAAGTGGTTACTGAAGCCCATGCAGATCTACAATGTAAATGCACCACCCACCTTGAAATATAAGTTCTAAGGTCTCAAGTATAGTTATCCCCGATTGTGAATAAAACATTGTATTAACACATTTCAATTCACAAAAGATTTCGTACAAATTAACAGATGTTCCTAATAAAACGCACAAGCGATATCGTACCGTATTCCTATAGTTATTAGGGTAGTTTAAACAGTGACGCGCCTTCAAATACTTTGACACAAACCTTGGGGTGCTACATATTAATATATTATATTACATTTGTATGAGTAATCCTTT